GGCGCTACGGAGGCAGGGCTCGTTGCTATGACGCGGTTGCCCCGGCAACCGTCGCCGGGGAGAAGCCCGGGCTCGCGTCCAAGGAAGATGCACTGGAGGGAGCGAAGGATGCGCCGGGCGGAGCGCCTGCGCTTTGCAAAGGCAGCGGGGCGTCGTGGGCTGGGCTGGGCACGGCCGAGGGCAGGAGAGGGGCAGCGGAGGAAACAGCGGCACCTTTTCTCCAGCTCCGCGGCCCCTGTTCCCACCCACCCCCGGTGCCCTCCAGATGAGGGGATCTCAGCCCCCAGCATTCTCTGCAAGGGGTCTGCAGGGGTGGTGGGCACTTCTGGGATATTTTACACCAGTGCTTCTCCACCTTGGCAGCTTGAAATGGTGTGGACTTCAACTCCCAGAATTCCCCAGCCAGCCATGGGGAATTTGGCTGGGGAATTTTGAGAGTTGAAGTCCACACCTCTTCCAGCTGCAAGGTGGAGAAGCACTGCTTTACACCAACTGCTGGAGGGTGCTCAGGCTAGGGAGGGCTGAGTCTCAGCAGGGGGCAGCGCTGAGCTGGCCTTGAAAAGCAAAGACTTGGATGGGAGGCCACTAGGTCTGTTGGCTATGGCCGTGTCAAGATAACTGCAAGAATATGGCCATCCCTTAGCTTAATTTTCAGGAGACTCCACCGTTTTGGACCAGATCAGTAAATGGTTGGAAAGAGTAGGGAATTCCTTTTCATCACTGCTGAGCATTTCATTCCTTGCTTTTAGGCTCCAGTTAAATTGGGGCTGTTCCAGCAAATTTGGGGCCTTTAGTTTGAGATGGGTGAGCATCACCATTAGCAGATCGTTTTATTCTTTCGACTGTTCTGTTCTGTGTGGTATTTTGAATGTTTGTGCATCCTCCGGAGAGCACGTGGATTAGGGGAGTTTATAAACATTGTGAAATACGTTAAGAACAGCCTAAACACTTTGGAGGTAAGATAAATTTTCTCTGGGTTTAATTGGGGTGCAGAGAAAATTTAGGGGCTCAGTTCTCCTCCCTGCTGCAGCTTGGGACCTGTTTCTTGTCCCAAAGCTTTAAATCATTTTGGATTATGATTTTGGAAAAAAAAATCTCAGCATGTGTTGTTCCAGGATGTGGATGTTTTCAAGGAAATCTCAGTCAGCTGACTATCAGGAATGCTTTTATTTGGATTTCTGCCGTGAGCAAGGGATGGACTAGATGTCCTCAAGGGTACCACCAACTGTTTGCCCACCCATGCATACGAGGAAAAAGCCTATTTTAAGAGGTTTTCCTCGCAACAGCATTAAAGTGCTTCCTGCCAGGCCTCGAACCAGTTGAAAAGTAGCTATGCCCGTGTCAGAAGGATTAAAACACCTTTTCCGGTTCGTTCCAAGCCGGAAAGGAAGCATACCAGATGATCAATGGAGAGTCAAAAATATGTTTATTCACCCAAAGTTATCCAGTGGGCGGCCATGCAGCACTTCTCTTTATAGGAAATTTAGCCAATCATTATCAGGGGAATGTGCTTGCTTATTACAAACGTTTCCTTATCTTAGACAGAAAGCAGCACCTCCTTATTTATAGCTCAACAAATGTTTCTTTATTTAGAGCTAAAACAGCTATGTTTTTCTAGGCATAAGATATACATCTTCCTTTACTGGGGCATGCTATGTGGTTGTTTCTAATGGAGGAGCCAGATTTTATACAATGGCATTACTACTACCTATTTACTTCTGCCTATAATAGTGTTTCTCAACCTCGGCAGCTTGAAGATGCATGGACTTCAACTCCCAGAATTGAGAAACACTGGCCTACACAATCTTTACTCCAACACTCCCCCCTTTGAGCCTGATAAGAGATAAAGTTTCTAAGCATTCATTAGTTCCTGGAGGAGTTGTTCCTCTTTGTACCTGCGGTCCAGTTTAGCCCTAATGGCTCTTAGTTCTGCAACAGTGAGTGATTTTCCTGCACAGTGGGAAAATAAAGTTTTGTGGGCAGGAGGGCACAGAGAATATAGGCACGTCAAGCAATAAAAATGACTACAAAGTATGAACATAAAACAGGTAATAAAAATGAGAGATGTGGAGAGAGATTTCAGCCACCCAAGATTAGGTAACCAAGAAGTGAGAGACAGACAGATATTAGTGAAGGAAGGTAAGAAAAGATCAGTCTGTGCGATGGCATGAAAGCTGGCAGAGTGTTGCAGAATAACCTGAATATCAGTGAGGACTTTGCTTTTCTGGGCCACATAAATACCTCAGCTAGAGTTAATAAGAGCACAAACACCTCCTTGACTAGCTAATAATAAAAAGCCAGAAGCATATGGTTGTGGGTGGCTACTTGTGAAGTTGAAGTAACTTCTGCTTTTAGCCTGCCAATTGCATCTACTCTAGCATTAGCCTAAATCTCAAGAGATGCCGAAATAGGAAGGAGGGCAGACTCCAACTCAGCAATCCCTGGTGAGGACATCAACCATCAAAGGAGAGATTGTAAAGGAGATTGCCATTCCACTAAAGGACGAAGTATGGTATGGGAAAGGGCAGTTATGGTAACAACCCAAAGATGGGAAGAGGGCCGTATATTGACAGCCAGAACTAAGGTCCCTAGACTGCAAGTTCCGTACCATGTAGAAAATAAAATGTTATATGCTGTCTGTCCACATATCCCAAACCAGCCAAACAGTGGCACTGTTCTGGATTTTAGGTCAGCAGGGACCTCATAAATCAATACACAATCAACTGCATTCTAGCAATGCAATGTGTATTTCCTTGGTCAAGGGATTCATTAAAAGTCCATATATTTATTAGCTTGCCTTTACAGTGGCAATAGATGGATTATATAAGTGAAAGAAGATGGTGCTATTAAACCTCAGAGGAATGCAAAACAGGGAAACACCCTCCATCAGGCGCATAGGCATGCATGGCATTCTAATGCAATGGGTTCAGAGGCCCAGGGCATACAGCAAAAGTGGACAATAGAAAGCAGTAAGAGAGGAAGGCACAGGTTGCATAAAATAATTATCATTACAGGCTAACAGTGATCAAAGTACAAAATGAGACTTTGGATAAATAAGTATGTCCAATGCAGGTGAGTGAATTCTCCAGGTATCATTCAGACAAGCAGGTGATGTTCCACTGGTCCTGATCTGGGTCATCTCTTCCTCATATAGGTGGGACCTGACCTGGATTGTCTACAGCTGGGCTGAAGTCAATTACTGCAGGTTTGATGTGGGTATGATGAACCCAGGTGGGCTGTTCAGCTACCTTGACAGCTGTGTGGTTAGTTAGAACCTGGAATGGACCTCTCCACCTGGGCTGGAAAGGAGAAGTCCTGGTGAAATGCTGGATCCATACCCAATCACCTGGTTCAAAAGGACGCAAATTCTCTTCAAGAGGGATGGGCTGTAAGAGGGCACTATTCCTCCAAAACTGTCTAAGGATCCTGTAACGAGAGCATAAAGACAAGTCCTCCCCTACCCCAAAAGAGTTAGAGCACCTGGGTCAAGACCCTTAGTGATATCTGGTGGTCTTTCAAACAACAATTCAAATGGTGATAGCCCACAATCCTTTCTGGGTCTAACGCATACATGAAACAAAGCAATAGAGAATACTTGGGTCCATTTTAAATGAGTCTCTAGGCATAGCTTACCTAATGAGGTTTTCAGTTCCCTGGTTACTTCCAGAGCTGTAGCCCAATGACATGGATAAGCTTCAGTCCAATGAGGCAGCTGATCTCTACAAACAAGGACATACCAAAAACCTTGTGCTCTAGGCAAAGTAATGAAGACCGTCTGTAAATGAGAAAAAAGGACTTGTGGGGGGGAAAAAAGGTGTCTGTGGTGGCCCCTCTTTGTGGCTCTACTTCTGTGAGGAGACGTAGCAAACGAAGCAATTTTTTTGTGGAGCTCTGGGTCGGCCAGCAGGTACTCTCCACATTTGGTCAGAAAAGGTTGCTTCAGATTTTATCTTCTACTCTTCCTCCTCCTTCCCTTCAGCAAAATCACCATGATTGAAGGGTGATTGAAAATGAAACACTGGAGCTGCAACAGAGAGAGAGGGAATATGAGTGGCCGCCCACGTGGCAACCGCATAGTGTAAGAGTTCCCCTTGGTTGTTGTGGAGTCCTCATGTCGATGCACAGAGCAATGGACAACCGCTATGAGGGAAAGAAGCTGGACTGCATCCAAAAGAGCCCATACTGAGCCCATACATGAGCCCATACATGAGCAATATGGGAGCAGCAATGGCAGTAATGAACCTCCCTTGTTTCCATAAGGCTCCTATGGCATGGCAAATACCAAAAAGCATACTTAGGAAGAGCATAGATGTTAACAGTTTTGTCTACGACAGCTTGAGTTGAGTCAATAAGTTCAGCTACGTGGGCTCCCAAGGAAGGTGGGAAGGGTTCTGCCCAGCAGATTAAAAAAAGACAAAATAATTGCAGCCCCTGTTAAACAGACTCCATCAACCACAAAGGAAGACCCATCCCCAAAGAATTCAAAGCCAGAATGTTGTAGAGGCACGTTGGTAAGAACCAAGCAAGGTTTCTCTATGAGGTCTATGGGCTGCAAGTAGTCCTGTTGATAACTTCCTTCATCTGTAGACTCCGGAAGCAGAGGTTCAAGATTCAAAGTTGTGCATTTTATTTATTTATTTATTTATTTATTTATTTATTTATTTATTTATTGGATTTCTCCCATTTATTTATTTATTTATTTATTGGATTTCTCCCATTTATTTATTTATTTATTTATTGGATTTCTCCCATTTATTTATTTATTTATTTATTGGATTTCTCCCCCGCCCATCTCCCCCACAATAGGGGACTCTGGGCGGGTTACAAAGACATTAAAACTATAAATATATATAAAATACATACTATATATACAATTAAAACAATACTAGAAATGGAAAAATCCAAGAAGATGGAAAATCAGGGCGGGGACAGCTGGCCACTATGGGGTTAGCCATCTCCCTGCTTGAGATG